CTCACACATTTCCCATGTGCCAAAGTCTCTGTGTCCTTTCTATACAAGCAATCGAATCCATCAACACGACTGAAAAGGATTTCCTTCCTATTTTTCATAATCCATAACAAACAAAACAGTCGGCATTAGAAAAGTACTAATAAGCACTATATAAAAAAATATATACAAACAACCGCATATGTATGAAATCTATACACATTAACTTACAAGTTATTCGAATCCCTTGCATATCGCAACACAGCACCCTTCAACACATCAATATCAACACCGGATGAGCTTCCTGCATTCTTCACTTTAAATTTTTTCTGATTTTTAAAGCAACCCACAAATTAGATAAAACAACACTAAAAACAACTAACACAAACCAAAACTGAAACATAGTACAACAAATTACCTTTGTACAACAAATTACCTTTCCCTCCCTAACTAGCTGACTCAATGTTAAATCTCCACTACCATCACCACCCTCAAGCACCTCACCGGCATCAGCTTCTTTCCTTTTCTCATCAACCACCACATCTTCACAAACATCCCCCATAGTAGACTACAGAAACCAAACCACAAAAGTGTTTAACAAAACCAGATATATGTAAACCACACCACTAACAAATGCAAAACAAACTACTACAAAAGACATGACAAACAAACCAAAAACAGTATAATCCACACCACAAATATTCAAACACAAAACAGTAAGAATACCTTTACGACCTTCTCAACCAAGTTATCCAACTTAGCAGCATCAACACCATCAACATTGTCATCTCCATCATCACCTTGTCCCTTTTCCTCACAGCTGTCCATCTCCATCACCTTCTTAGCATTCTCAGAATCAGCTTCTTTCCTTTTCTCATCAACCACCACATCTTCACAAACATCCCCCATAGCAGACTACAGAAACCAAACCACAAAAGTATTTAACAAAACCAGATATATGTAAACCACACCACTAACAAATGCAAAACAACCAACTACAAAAGACATGACAAACAAACCAAAAACAGTATAATCCACAGCACAAATATTCAAACACAAAACAGTAAAAATACCTTTACGACCTTCTCAACCAAGTTATCCAACTTAGCAGCATCAACATTGTCATCTCCATCATCACCTTGTCCCTTTTCCTCACAGCTGTCCATCTCCATCACCTTCTTAGCATTCTCAGAATCAACACTTTTTTGTGTCATCTCCATTGTCAGATTATCAAGATGATCATCAAGTCCCTCCGAATCTAACACTCCCTTAGGAGAGGTATCATCATTAGCAGTGCCAGCAGGATCATTGTGACCAACATCTGGCAACACAACATCAACAGTACCAGCACCATCCTTATCCATCTCCATTGACAAATCATCAAGACCCGGGGACTTTGGACTGTTAGCACCAGTCTCATCATCAGCATTGGCAGCAGATGCATTGCGACCGACATCATTGGTTCCCTTAGCAACAGAAACATCATCAACTCTATCAGTGAAATCGACATTATCTTCAGGACTATCCTCTGGTTGCTGCCCCTCCAGCATCTTTATATGATCATCAACTTGTTCAATGCTCGAACTGTAATGAGCAGCCATCCTCAACAAAGCCCTCTTATAACTTTCCATGTCATTCTTCAACTGATATGCCTACAAAAACACGAAAACAGCCCAAAGTTACTGAACAGCCCAAAAGCAAACCATAAACCTTCTAAAGAATCTCACATTCCTTTTAATGAACACCTAAAACACACTTATACGAACCACATATGTTTGAGTTCTCACAGAAAAACACCTACCAAACGATGAGTACCATAAAATATTCCTTTAACGAAGTAATGCAAACCACTATTCTTTTAATAGAAACCACAAGTACACTAAAGCATGCCAAAGAACAAACAACAGAAAACACAACTAACCAGCACATGAATAAAATAAAGTATTCCGTAAACAAACTAATGCAAACCACTATACTTGTAAAGCACACTGAAAGTACTCTAAAGAAAGACATAAAACGAATAACACAGAAAAAATCACTCACTTCTTCAACCGAATGAATACCATCCAAGTTGAGGTCAAGATGGGGAAGCTTCGGAAGATCCCCTTCCCTCACCATATCAAGATCATCTACCGGCCTTTTCCTCTTTGAACCCAGCACACGTCCTCGTCCCATTGGTTGACTGGAGGTTGCTTCTTCTTCCACCACTACATCTCGATGACCAATATTGAGATGACCTTCGTCCATCAGTACTTGAAAAGCATCACTTGCGACTTTGTACGACCTATGCCTACAGGTCGGTATGGGCAGCTCAGGGGGGTTCTTCACACGGTCAAGAATCGAAATCTGCCACATATACAAACAGACAGAAGTCAAGCAACCACAAACAAACTGTGCCAGAAAGATTATAATACACACCACACAACCAGGGGGGAGGGGCAAAAGCAAACCATAAATATTCTTAAACAAACCATAAACATCTTCAACCACACCACATTCGTCAATAAACAAACCATAAATGATAAACAATACCAGAAACATTATAACAAAGGGGGGTAAAGCAAACCATAAATATTCTTAAACAAACCATAAACATCTTCAACCACACCACATTCGTCAATAAACAAACCATAAATGAAAAACAATACCAGAAACATTATAACTCAGGGGGGGCAAAAGCAAACCATTAAAACTCTTAAACAAACCATAAACATCTTTAACCACACCACATTCGTCAATAAACAAACCATAAATGAAACAGTAAACCAAAATTCGAAAAGGGGTATATTTATTCACTTACAAAAAGAAGATGAACGTCACCAGGGAACTTTGACTTTGATTGAACCACTTCAACCATACTGTCATTAAAATGGTCAGCCACATGCTTACACCAATTATATTGGGTGAAGTCAGCAACCATTTCATCTTGCAAAAAACCAGCATAGGAGAGGTTAATCTTCAAATTTCCACTGGGACACAGAACTGCCTCCATTGCATACAGTACAAAAAGATCCCTCCACTTCTTATTGTCCCTCTCATCTTCCAATGCCAGTTTAACGTTTGCCAATGACGCCTTTCCTTTCTTAGTATTGGAAAGCCCTAACTCAATTCCCCACCTGTGCCTCTGGGCTGCACTGAACATATCCAGCTTAACAGCATACGGTCCACGCGGCAAACCATAGACTCTCTCCACATCTGCCTCTCCAATTCTAAACTTCCCTGACCGTAGCAGCGGGAAAGACCTTGAACTCACATCAAAGCTTTTGCAAAGCCATTCAGTAAAATTATCCGGGAGTCTCGTAAGCTTAACCCTCGACACACCCCTAAAACCCAGAGGATCAAGCATCTGCAGTTTTTCTTCACTTGTACTGGCAGCATCCATGATGACAAGAATACGATTAGTATTACTACGATGCCTCTTATCCGGCTTTCCAGGCACAGCAGAAGCACCATCTTTCTCTCGCTTAGGTGTTGCAACTTTTTCTTTTTCTTTCCCCTTTACTGCACCATCTTTCTCTTGCTTAGGTGTTGGAACTTTTTCCTTTTCTTTCCCCTTTACTGCACGTTTCTTAGCAGGTGCCATGCCTACAAAGCAACCAAAACACAAACGAACATAAGCAATCTCATACCAGAACATATAAAATCCAAACCATTAAGGGCCTAATGCAAACTGTAAACCCATGAAAACAATCCAATAATCAAATTTAAAGCAGACAAACAACAACTCCAAATGAACCACCAACATCACCCTGGAAATACACCAGAAAGGCCCCAATCCAACCCACAAACACCCTAAATGTCACCAAACACAAAGCGCACCACAAAAAAAAGAACAAAACAACAGAACTACTGAACACCACCACAAACGACTCAATAATCAGATGTAAAGGAGACAAACAACTGCAAATGCACACCAGTAAATCTTCTAAACCAAACTGTGAAATCCGAAACACAAACCACAAAACCTTTTAAAAGAACCACCAACAGCAGCCTGAAAATCCACAATAGTTTTATTAAAACCCTCCAGAAAGGCCCCAATCCAACCCACAAACACCCTAACTGTCACCAAACACAAAGCGCACCACCAAAATGTAGAACAAAACAACAGAACTACTAAACAACACCACAAACGACTCATGAGAAACCAGAAACCCTAAAATACACAATAGTGTTATTAAAACCCTCCAGAAAGGCCCCAATCCAACCCACAAACACCCTAACTGTCACCAAACACAAAGCGCACTACCAAAATATAGAAAAAAAACAACAGAACTACTAAACAACACCACAAACGACTCATGAGGAACCAGAAACCCTAAAATAATCAAAGCACACCACAAAAATGAAGAAACATCCAACAAAACCTAACCAGAACGCACAACTATGAAATTTCCTCGTCTCCTTCAACAAATTTAGACTGCATGCGTCAAAACATCGCAGAAAACTGGAAAACGAAAGTAACAGAGGGCAAACATGAAAACGAAGGTTGTAAATTCAATAGCAGAAGCAAGCAATGACAATGCTAACGAAAACGAAAACGGCGACGCCAAACTAACACCATACAAGTGGAACTCCGGCGACGCCAAACGACAACGGCGACTTCGCAGACCAAAACTGACGACGGAGGAGAAGACAGTTCCAGTTTATCGGAGGAAATCACCGGCATACCTCGAAATTCACTTCGGCGACGGAGGAAACAGAATCGCGCGAAGGAAATCCACAAGCCGCAGACGAAATCGCTCGGTGCAGATGGAAATTTGGTGGCGAGAACAGGGAGACCGAAGGAGACGTCCCGTCGGAGAGCAGTTCGTGAGCAGAGGGGAAAGGGGAAAGGGGAAGGCGGAAAACTGAAATGTCTCAACGCGCGCTTCAATGAATTTTATTATTATTTTTGAATTTCAAAATTAATGTCAGGTAAAAGAAAACAATTATTTAATTATTGTGCAGTTATTATTGTGCAGTTACCCTTATACCCCTGTTGTTATAATAACAACACCTTAGGTGTTGTTATGCTATCCGGAGCGACTTGAACCACTCCCTTTTCACGTCCTATTCTAACAGCAGTGGAGGAGAGTGAAAATCCCAATTCTCAATGGCGACTAACGTGTTTGTTTGTAATTCGTTCGAGTTGCTCATTCCCAAAAGCTTTACTTTCTCACTCCCTTTACTCCCTATTGCACAGCAGGTACCCGTCTCCGCCTCACCACCACGCCGCCGGCGCCGGAAATCCACCATTGTTTCTAGTATGGCTCAGTCCAGTCAGAACCCAGGTAAAATCAGTCAACTTTAGACGAGAAAGAGACGATCTTTAACCCTCTGTTCTTGAAGGAGGGAAAGGGAGGGAAAAGGAAAAAAGTGGAGGGAAAGTTGGAAATTCGAGGACTTTCCCCCGTTTCCGAAGCGAAGAAAAGTAGAGGGGAAGGGAAAATGGTGTGGACTACTCACTGTGCAAACGTCCCTCCCAAATTGGAGAGAATCAGAGGGAAAGACAATTTTGGTGGGCTGCTCCAATTTTTTATTTATTTTTTGTTAGAAGTTACGTTGGGGAATGGTGATAAACTAGGTAGGAAGCTTATTTTAATTTTAATTTTTTATGAAATTTTAACGCCATGCTTATCTTTTATTATTCTCTTTCCTTTTAATGTCATACTTATAATTAATTGATAGTCAATATTTGACCGCCTATGGGAATAAAAGGTTAATATATTTGACCGTACAATTTTTTATGATAGATAGTTAATCTCCTAATAGTTTTTATGTGTAAAGAGGTTGTATCGGAAAAATTAGCAATAGAATATTTATGCTGAAAGGTTGTCAAATCGATTTTAACCATTGCGACGGTTTAGTAAGTGGCATAGTTTGATCGAAGTACAATAAGTTTATGTCGATTTAATAAAGTGTGGTTCGATCGAAATACAATAAGTTTATATCGATTTAATAAAGTGTGGTTTGATCGATGAATCAATAAAATAGCAAACAAAATTTTAACAATTAGGTTTAAAAAAAATCAAATCATCTACTTTTTATTTTTGATAGTGAACAAAATTAGTAAAAATTACAAATTTAATTCATAATTCATAACAAATGAAAATAATATCAACATATAATCAAATTATTTTACTATTATATACCCAATAAAATAATATATCTATCACAATTTCCAATACAAATTTTCTTTCCCACTTTCCTCCATAAAACACCATTTTCCTTCCACTTTCCTTAACCTCCAAATTGTCCCTCCCCTCCTAATTCCTTCCCCTCCCCTCCATTTTCCTTCCTTCCTTCGGAAACAGGGGGTAAACGGTTTAGGATAAGGGCCGCGCTAATTCAGCCTATTGCTTAGCGTTAGCGACAACTGTTTTGATTAGGAGAACTTCATGCTTCTGTTGTTTTAGTGGAAGAATGCTGAAAAACTGGTGTGGGGTTTGAGTTATAGGATTGATTCTGTAGCTTGTTTTGTAATTTGTTTCCCTGTCATTTTCCCATAGTGGTTCTGCAGAAGAGAGTCGTAATTCCAAACAAGCATGGTGAGAAGCTGGTGGGAGTGTTGCATGATTCTGGGTCCAAGGAAATTGTTGTCTTGTGCCATGGTTTTAAATCTTCCAAGGTTTGGCTTTGAACCTGAGTCCCTTCTGCTAAATAGTTAATACTGCCGCCTGGCGGTCATTCTTCTGGATTTGAAGTCATTAGAGGAACACGAGGGGATTAGTGACTGGATATTTTGCTTTTTGTATCCTGATTTCCAGGACAACACAACCATGCCAAACCTTGCTAATGCATTGGAAAAAGAAGGAATCACATCGTTCCGATTTGACTTTTCTGGCAATGGGTAAGCTAAAAGTTCCTTCCATTCATAGCTCTTGTATGGATTGTGCATTGATGATCAAAGGTCATTTGACTCAGCCATAGGAAATGCTTGAAGGCTATTTTGTCAGTGCATTTCTTGTAGATGGAATTGTTGTTTGGTCATTGTTTTATCTCAACACGTCTCGTTAACAGGGAAAGTGAAGGCACATTTGCTTATGGTAACTATGGGAGAGAAGCTGATGATCTGCGCTCTGTAGTCGAACACTTTGCAGGAGAGAACCGAGTTGTTAGTGTGATTCTTGGCCATAGTAAAGGTGCTTGAGGGCTGTTTCCTAATTCCTAGTACATGATCAGGCACTAATTTTGAGAACTGTAGTGAAATCTCTGACTACTGTTCAATCTTTGTGTGGACTGCAGGAGGGAATGTAGTGCTCCTATATGCTTCAAAATTCCACGATATCAGGAACGTTGTAAATGTTTCTGGTCGCTATGATCTGACGAGAGGCATTGAGGAGCGCCTTGGGAAGGACTTTCTGGAAAGCATCAAGAAAGAAGGGTTCATTGATGTAAAGAATGAAGCAGGTGAGGTTTATTCTTTTACGTTGAATTCCCGTTGGTGGAAATTATCAAGAAAGAAGGGTTCATTGATGTAAAGAATGAAAGAAGGGACTGTATCAAGAAAGAAGGGACTGTATCAAGAAAGAAGGGTTCATTGATGTAAAGAATGAAAGAAGGGACTGTATCTGCAGCTGAATGTTTGTCTGCCACAATTTGTGTTCTGTAGGAGAAGTCAAGTATCGTGTTGCCGAAGAGGATTTGATGGATAGACTGAATACTGATATGCACAAGGCATGCCAGCAAATTAATGAAGATTGCAGGTGGGCGGATCTAAAATTGAATTCTTTCAGTTTCCGTTATGTTGATGATTAGTTAATGTCGCACTCGCACAGGCTGAAGTTGATACTGCCAATGCTCTCTGTATTGAGTGACAGTGTGTTCACCATCCATGGATCTGCCGACGAGGTTATCCCAGTTGAAGATGCATGGGAATTTGCAAAGATCATACCAAACCACAGTCTACGCATCATCGGAGGAGCTGATCATCGATACAGTTCTCATCAGACTGAGCTAGCATCCGTCTTGTTGGAGTTCATAAAATCAAGACTGCAGCAGCAGGACAAGTGCTCCACTTCCTAGCCCCTTCATCAATTTGTAGCAACTGATATTTTGCTATTATCTCATCAAACATTATAACATTACCTCTATTCTCTATGCATCAAATTGGGCAATTGGCAGAGAAATGCATTATTCAGTTCTGCTGAGGAATTCGCTGGCAACTGCCGAGACTTCCCAGTGTGACCTTGTAGAGCTTAATGAATGGTAACAAGTTTTTCTTCTTTCAGAAGAGCAAAACAAGGTTTCCAGGGTTTGAGAGTGGTAACCTAGTAGCAATTGTATCTTATCTTTGCCTCTCGTTCTAGTACGGGAATATTACCATGAACATAGTATGTTAATCTCTTGTATGGTCTATCTAGGAAATGAATTTCAAGAATGTAGATGGTTTGAACCTGATAAATTGTGTTATTGCTAAAGTTATTGATGCGACGACGGCACAACATCTGCAATTTGGTCTGAGCCTAGCAACTGCATTTCAGGAAGTTATTGACATAGTGCCAACAGCACAACCTTCTCAACATTTGCAATTTGTTCTACAGCCTAGTAGTTAAACAAGCTAAAATTAATGCTCTAGTAAAATTATTCAGTTCTATTTACAGCCACAAATTACTTTCGATGTGGAGGAGGCATTCAAAAATATTAGGCGCCACTCTTTTCACTCCAAGTAGCAGTGATTTGTGTTGTTTTTCTTTCGATGTGATACTTGGAGCACAGATGGAACGAGGAAACTCAGACATCGAGCAGATGAGCACCTCCTTGTATCGGGATTAATCCAATCATCTTAATCCTAATCCTGTTCTGGTACCAAAATGCTCTGCTATCTGCTCCTTCCTTCTAACATTCAGTCACTGTCCATGCACGATTCTTCTCCACCATCCTGGAAGACAAGACAGTAGTTAACATGCCATTTTGGAAAATTTAGACGAATTACTTAACCATGGGTTTTCTTCATACGAGTAAGATGACCGTGCCAGGCATTAGATTACATGTCATTTCTATATACGACGATAAACAAGTCTTGAAACAACATCACAAATAAGCAAACAGGTTGAGAGCTTTTGGTTTCTTACTAGGATAGTGGCTGTACAGGTAAGCTTAAACAAGGGGTTGTCAATTTTTGAAACCTGGACATCCTAAGAACTCAGTACATAGAGCAACATTCAGAACTAACGATGGCTCTTTACAGGAAACTGTCAATATGCGTTAGTAAGAAATACAGACGACGAAATTTAAAACTTTAATAGGTTTGGTTGTCACTTGTCACTACTGCAGCTTCAAAGGGAGTGCAGCATATCATGGAACAGGGTTGTCTCACAAGGGAACTGGATTGCAGTCAAGTGAGACGAATGATATTTGTTGTCTACCAAATGCTTGAAATAGGTGAGACTGTGAGGAGTGCTATGTTGAAGCCAGAATCTCTCAGTAGGAGAGGGAGAGGCAGAGGGAGAGAAAGATCCTTTTAACAGATGATCAGAAAGATTTCTATCATAACAAAATCGAAGCAGGTACAAAGTTCAAGATATTGGTCGTAAGCCCGCGCTCAAGCTAAAACCGCAAGATGGGATGAATTCAACTTAAAGCTAAGAAGCTATTTCCACTGCTTTAGTTTTGATTTTTTTAGTAGATCGTTAAGGGAATACTAGTTATCTGGTGAGAGGGAGGGTACCCTGCCAGCTATTTCCCATTAACCAAACATGCTAAGTCTCCACCTTGTATTAACTCATGAGCCTCATATGAACCAAATGAAATGAGCTACGGAAACTGAAAATCTACCTGTTCATCATCATCAGAGAACAAAGAAGCATTGTCCAACATCGTAGTCAGGGTCTTCTCAGTGTGCAACGTCTTGCCAGCTTCAACATCTTGCTGCATTGACATAAGAGCAAGTTAATTGAACAAATACTGTACTCAATTTGTAAATATATCAGCATATCTCCAAACCATTGCGGGAGAAATGCCATACCAATTCAGACTTGATCAGTTCGATTCTCTCTTGCAAATCTAAAACATGGTGCTTCAGTGCCTGTAGAAAGTAATAAAGTTACACCGACTTCAGAAAAGCAAATGCTAGATTAGATAGAGAGACATAACAAACAAATAGCAATATCTGCCAGTACCTCCCGTCTCTGAAGTTCAATGGACCTAGCCAGTGCTTGTCTCCTGGATAGCAAATTTTTAGGCCTCATTACCTGGGGGCGTTTATAATTCTTCCCACGATAAACTATAATCGCATAGCCTTCGGGAATTCTCTCCACAGCTACTAGGACTCCACCACTTTCAGCTTCCAAATTAATTGCAATATGTTTGACTTGTGCAGGGTTTTTGCCAGCCACAATTATCTTCACTAGCTCATGGTATTTCCAATGCAAGTGCATGTTCTCTATGGTACCATCATAGACCTCTCGCCTTCCTGCAACAGCAATCCCCATCAACATTTGAATCTTTTCACTTACAAGCATCTCACTTTAGGCTACAAAAGCAGGTGATTGTTTACCTAGAGGGAGATATGGTTTCATGCTTAAACCAATCCTTCGAAACAAGAATCTCTCCTCGTTCGTTATGGTTTCCAGATCAGTTGGAAGTTCTTTTGGTTCCAGACGCTCCTGTACTTTATACAAAGCCTTCTCAGCCTTCTTCAGTTTTCCATTTGCCTAAAAAAGTACACTCACAATTATACCAGAAACCACAAAATTACAGAACGTTCATAATACAATCCATGTTTTCTTACAGTGGCAAACTTGTTTTGAAGATGCTTTAGCAATGAAGAGATCCTAGCCACAGCTGAATCTCTCATCATTTCCTTCACATCTTCATTGCTTGGCTGTTTCCCCCATCGGGAAGTTGCTGCCACAGTTTCAGCAAGTGTCCCAGCAACTGCTGGGACTTTAGTAGTTATGATGTTTAATGGGGCCATTTGCCTAACTAGCTCTTCTTCAACATTCTGGAGGTAACTTAGTTTCTGTCTCTCCTTCAATGTCTCCATAACTGCAGGTGGCAAGAAGTCATTACCCCTGTAAAACACAATAAAGTCCTTGTTTCTAGAGAGTAGTGTTCCCCCAGTTAATCTCTGCAGGAAAAAAATGCAACTATCAAAATGAGGGGGGGAAACATTGGTGAGAGGAATACCATGCTCTTGTCTATTTAATCTCACCTTAAGTTCCTCAGTCATCCTATCATTACGAGTATTTTCCACACCACGCTTGATAGCTATCTTTGCAATGGCACTTTGTTCCCATAGCTTCACAATAGCCTTAGCCAGACCTTGCAGGTCTCTGTTCCTGCCTGTCAAACAAATCAAACTCGGGCAACAAAAAGCATCCAAAGCTAATATGACTGCAAATGGCAGAACAAAACGCAGCCAGCAAAAGTTATAAATTACCTAGAGCAAAATGTGGAGGCGTCATTCTTGCAAGCCTGCGGAATTTTGTTGTCTCCTTGTCTCTTAAACAATGTTTTACCCCATAAGGAAGAAGCCGGAATGGGGGTTTGTATCCCGGGACAACAGCAGGAAGCCGGTCAGCATCAACAGGAAATGGTTCAATGCCAGACCAGTCTTTGAACCTTGGTCCTAATCCATCTAACAAATGGTTGAGCTCAGTTAGGTCCAAGAGTTCATTCTTTGACAAATCCTTGAAACCCTTTACCGAATTCTGTACTATAGGTTCTGGGGCTCTCGCAAGACCTTTTGCTCCTTTGTTAGCTATATCATCATCATTCGTCACTGCTTCATCAGATGGAGAGGCTTCCGTAACAGCCTCTTTTTGTTTCGCATAAGATCTTACACATCGGAATTGATAACTCATTCCTCTATACAATACCACTGAAGTTCCTGACCTCCATATCACCAGCCCTCCAGTTCTACTCTGTGTCGGTCAACAGCTCCATCATCACATAACATACTAAAATTACATTGTGTTCTGCATATGCTTATAGCAGCCATACCAAAGAACATAATGACAAGCAAGTTCATTGCAAGAGTCTGAAGCAGAAGCAAAGAAATTCAGCAAACTGACCTCCAAGATCTCATGTGTTCTCTTCATGTTGCGAGAAGGAGGCCCTTCAAACTTCAACTTGACTACTTCATCAAGCCTCCATTTCTCATGAACGGCGTCCACCAAATCCTGAGTAACACCAGCTACTCCAACGTTGATCCTCTCCAGCATCCTCAGCGCAACATTCCTCAGCCTCTTAAGCTCATGCTCAGGAACCATCCTCTCTGCCAGCTCGGTGTTGCTCTCTCTCTTCTTCTCCTTCTTCTCCGAGCTAAAATTCCACGGCGATTCAACTGAGTTGCTGCTTCTTCTAGTCTCTTCAACAAACAATCCATCGTCTGTTTCCTTCACCTCCTGAATCGCTAGTTTATATGGCACTGAATCGTCTTCCGATTTGGCTTCATCTTCCTCACGTTCAGTACTGATGGAATCAACTTCCTTCGTCTCTGCGCTCTCTGCTTCATCAACAGCACCATTTCCGGCTTTCTCCACCCAAAATTCGACCAACCCATTAGAGCCCAAATCCCTCAAATAGCCGTTTCGGTTTCGATTTCCCTGTACCCAGGGAGCCGAAGTCGGCCGATTCGGTAGCGGAAAACTCGCCGCGGCAATCGTTGAAGCGTCGCCGGGGATTTCGGTCTGGGACTCGTCCACCCCAGAAAGAGTTGCCCGCATTTCTACCTCTTCGACTTCCTCCGCCGCCGCCGCGTCGTCCTCTTTTTTCTGCTGCTGCTGCTGCCAGGGAAGTTGGTCTCTGGTCGAAGACGGTTTCCGAGACCATTTCCCTTGAACCTGCTCGAAGAAGCTCGGCCTGGGATTTTTCCTTGTCGTCGCGGCGTTAACTCGAATCACGCGATGCGAGCGGCAAGGACAAGTTGTGAATTGAAGAGCTCGACTTTGTGGCTGTAGGTGAAGAGGATGATGACGAGGATGACGAAGCGGGGAAGAGCAGTGAAGGGAGAGCGCCATTGTAGCTACTCCGAGCTGCAAGCAGTTGTCGGACTATCAGGATTCAGGAATTATCCATTCCGATGAGCATTGGGCCCAATTATAGCCCATGGGTCGTGGTTGAAAAGAGATTATGGATCAGAGAGTGCAATGCTAAAGCGTTTGCACAAATCAGTTTGCCTCGTGAGTTTAAAATTGGTAAATGCCACATTTAGTCACTCATATTACTAAATCGTATCATGATTAGTCACTAGAAAATTTTAATATCAATTTTGAACACTCAAATTACTTAAACATGTCACATTTAGTCACTTTTTCGTTAGCCTCCGTTCAACTCCGGTCACTCGAATTACTGAAACATGTCACATTTAATCACTCGAATTACTAAAACATGTCACATTTAGTTACTCTTCTGTTAGTTTCGTCCAACTCCATTAATGAAGTTGGACGGAAACTAACGGGAGAGTGACTAAGTGTGACTTGTTTCAGTAATTCGAGTGACCAAAATTGATATGAAATTTTTCTAGTGACTAAACATGATACGATTTAGTAATCTGAGTGACTAAATGTGGCATTTACCCGTTTAAAATTTGAAATATTTGGTAAATTTTGGACTTGAGAAATTATAGATGTATGATGATTTTTGGTTTATTATTGACTTGAAAAAATAGAATTATTTGTTTTGTCAATTTCATGATGAGTTTTGTTAATTAGATTTGTATATATTAAGTGAAATTGACCTTATTACTCTCGTTAGTATGAGAAGAGAAATGAAATAGGAAGAATAGGTTGGTCATAAATGATGGACTTCAAATCCATGACTAATTCCCACATATAAGGAATGTGATTTTCAAGTTTGTGAAGCCCACAAATTTGGATCCTTAAAGTCCATGGATTTCACGAATCTGTTGTCCCTAAATACATGAAGCAAACAATAGAATATGGAGAAAGCCCATGATGGATCCAAATCCATCACCAAATACTGGTAAACAGGTGGGACGGGACGAGAATCTCAATACCCATACCCGCCCCGCACAACGAGTGGATCATGTCAAGTAATACCCCCATGGGTATGTTCGTTATTCAATAGCTCCGTGTAAGTTTGTTCATCACAAAATTGGAAGAGTTCTTGTCATGTCAACTTGTTTTCAATACTCTGCTCAGTCGATTCACCACTTTTGTGATTAATCCCAAAATGTAAGTTCATCATTCGATAACTTCACCATATAGGTAGCTTGAATTTTCAGAATTTTCGTCTCATATCTTCAATTTAACATAACTAATAATCACATAAAGATAATTTACTACATAGATAAAAAAATCATGCGTAAAATGAGAACATCCACCACACCAAGGGCTCGAACCTTGAGACCAACAATCAACAAAAAAGAATCCTAGCCTCGTATATCACACATTCTCAATTCTAGAATTTAATCTAACATACAATCCCATTCTAAACCCTAAATCCATCATACAATCTACATTCACAACACTAATTATATAAGCTACCATCTAAATTATAAACCCTAATATAGCCTACAATCCGCATTCAAAATCCTAATATATCTTACAAGTCTAATTTTAATACCTCTAACCTTGTTGTTGAAACCATTGCTTGCTCAAACCCTAATGTTACTCCAACAATCAAATTTTACCTATAGTGACTACTTGGTGATAAATGGGACAAAACTATGTAGAATGGAGAAAGAAAACAAGTTGGGAGATTGAGAATATGGAGAAGGCAACCAGCTGCAACTGCTATATTTTTTCCCAGTAGGAAAAGTAAGGAGAATAATTATTAATGTAGGTAATGTAGAATTTATGTATTTGAAGAACTCATGTATATTGTAGGTTGAGTTGTGAGAACTTGTGTAATATTAAAATGCATTATTTGGCTTGCATGAGATCATGGTAGAACTCCCATAATTTGGCATGAAATATCAAAACTTTGGGTAAACCCAAAACATTTGAGATATCATGGTCACATGAATTCTAGAATTGCATGGTACGTGCACCAATATCATGATATCTGCACGAAGATGAAACAAGAAAAACAATGAAATCTCATATATTATGTAATCTTGAAATATGTGGATAGATTACATGCTTACCAAACGACCCCTTCATACTTATGTGAGCAAAAATAGTTGTCCTTATTAACAATCAATTTATGTTACTAAATACTGTAGAGGACAACAACTCATAGTTGCTTGCCTCGTATTGTTCAATCCTTGTATATAAGAGGCATAATGATGATCAATGAATACTTAAGTTAGGGTTTCAATTCCACCCTTGGTGTTAGCGACATAACTTTCAAACGCTTTTTCGATTAGCGATATATACGGTAGAATGCTTTCTCTAACATTCTGTTTAGAAAAGAGGTGTAAATAATGGGAGGGGTAAACACAGTTTCCAACACATTTGCACCTTCCTTCAATTGACCCCTCAACTTGTAACCCACTCGAATTTGTACCCCTTTGTTGCCAAACACAGTGTAAAGCGTTTTGGTAACAATTAATAAAAACGCCCGTTTGCTCGGCATTTTCACCCGAAAATAGGCATATTGGGAACAATTAACAATAACAGCTTTTTGATTCTTATAGTGTGATTCTTGTAATGAATTAATCTGCAGCGTGATTTCATACAATAGTAATGGAACAGTGGTTTGGATTACGAATATGCATGGATCTCATACAGAATCTTGACCCCAGAAAATTAAATGAAAGGAAGGAATCAGAAAACTAATTTGTAGGATTCCGTGATAACGAAAGCAAGAAGAACGCGAGCGATTTACGTGGTTTTCCCGTCCAGTGATGGATGAGACTATTCCACGGAGAACGAGAGCTCTCAGGATTATTATTGAGCTCTCAGAAAAAAAATTCAACCTCAAACTTGAATTTTAATAGAAAAACCCAAACTGCGCGACTATAGTCATCAATAATGGTCAAGAAATAATGACCTCCAGTATGAGAAGGAACATGGTAACCACCCCAGATGTCTAGGTGAATGAGTTCAAAACATGACTGAGTTTTAATGGAGCTATGCTCGAAAGAGTCACCAGCTTGCTTGGCCAAGAGACAATAAGAACACTCAACCTGTGGCTGCACCAGAGGACTCGGAATCAAATGCTGCAAAAAGGTGAGTCGACCCGCGAAAGGATGCCCCAGACGGGCGTGCTAGAGAGCTAAAATGTCCACTGCTTGACTAACCGAATGAGCCACCAGATGTTTGCCATCAAACAATTGGAGATAGTACAACCCATCAACATGCTTACCCATCCCAATCGGCTTCTTGGAGGGTAAGTCCTGAATGACACAGAAATTACTCATGAAAACCAAAGCCACTGTAAGATCAGCAGTCAACCGACTAACAGAGAATAAATTGCACTAGAATGTTGGAACGTGAAGAACTCGCTTCAAAGTCAAGTCATTCGACAATTTAGTTGAACCAATATGATGTACAGGAACACCAGTTCCATTAGGAATGTGAACCTGTAAGGTCGGGGGTCGTCCCGACTCATCAAACAACAAGGATTTATCATTAACGATATGTTCATTACACCCAGAGTCTATAACCCACGACGAATGAGGAGAGAAACTCGTACATGCCATATTAGATACCGGGTCGATGCCATGAGGATCGGAGGACGGCGACTCGCCGTTGAGGAATGTTTTCAGTTGCGTGAGCTGAGCGGCAGTGAGGCCAGCGATGGGAGACGACTCGGCATCCACTGTTGCTTCCTGGGGACGAGCTCGAGAGCCACGATCAGGCCGACACCGCTGCTACTGATCATCCACGCTAGGAGTGCGAGGAGAATAACCGATGATTTTATAGCACGTTTCCCGAAAGTGACCCGACTTCTGACAATGGGTGCGAACGGGCCGGCCATTGGCATCGTGAGGTCGATCAGAGCGTCAATCGAGAGTGTGTTCTCCTGAACGCGGAAGTCGATCAGGGCGCTTGTCCCCTTGAGCTTGGAAGGCTGCAACATCGAGTCAAGGACGCCGGCTGCTGGAAATATGTCGATGGTGTTCATCAGTCATCACCAGATGATAAGCTTAAGCTAAGCTGGGAGTGAGCTTCATGACCAAAATTTGAGTTTTCACAGTAGCAAAGGCGTCATCTAAACCCATTAAAAAAATCAAACAAAAGTTCACTTTCCTTGGCTTCCTGTTGACGACGCTTGACATCGCAAGTACACCCGCCACAGGAGCATTCGAGAGAGGGTGCGATTGAGCTGATTTCATCCCAAGAACTACGAAACTTTGTGTAAAAGGAAGCCACCGAGGACTTCTCTCGCTGGAGGGAGAGGATAGATTGTCGCAGCTCATATAGACGAGGCGCGCTTCCATGCCCAAATCGGGCTTGCAAATCGAGCCATATCTCCCGCGCCATTTTAGCAAAACGGATGTTGCTGCGAACATCTTTAGACATAGCCGTCTTAAACCAACCTTTAACCATAGCATCACATTGCTTCCAGAGATCGAACTCTTCACCCCCTGAAGTTGGTTTGACGATAGTGTCTGTCAACGAAACCAAGTTTATTCTTGGCTATGAGGGAGTCGGTGATGTCGCCCAGCCATTCTCCGTAGTTGGTCTCCGTGAGAAGTTCGCCAACAAACAATTGGCCGGGATTGTCCGACTGATGGATGGTGAACAGCGACGGGACGACAGGACTCTTGCTGCTCGCTGACGCGGATTTCCCAGACGGGGTCGTGGTCACGCCAGGACCTAATTCGCCCTCTAGTTCGCTCATGACGAAAAAAGATTTGATGTAGGATCACAGCTCTGATACCATGTAGAATTCCGTGATAACGAAAGCAAGAAGAACGCGAACAACAACGATTTACGTGGTTTCCCCGTCTAGTGATGGACGAGACTACTATTCCACGGAGAACGAGAGAGCTCTCGATATTATTATTAAGATGAAGTGAATGGCTTAGGGTTTAATCCCTTAATTAAACTAAGTGAACAAATAAGGGTTTACAACATAATTAATGATAAAATCTTTGAGAGATCTCTTCTGTGTGATTGCATAATCTTGACTCCTATAGTAGTCGTGTTTCATTTGTCATGCATGGCCTTGGCCAGCTTAAATTAATATGGCAACCGTGGGACGTTTTAAATTAT